ATCGCACAGCTAGTATTTGAATCCCGAAAAATACACAACTGGAACTTAGGCACTTTAAACACACCACTGATCCACCGCACATTCACATACCATTACCCTCTCGACCGAATCTGTGGCGAGTCGGCAATCCCCAGATATTCTGATCCGGGAATCGGCTCCATATAAGATGTGATCTGTACGGCCGATGTAGCTGTACAACTGCTGTACCCCCTAGTAGGCACGGTTTCTGGAGTCTAGTATTCGACGAGGCAAACACAATTTGAGCTCTTGTTAGTCTTTATCCAGTCACATCGGCGGCATCGTCCCATGGGTCATGCGGCATCCTTTTCATCATGTGGTAAGTACTATTGAGACTTGCCCCTAAATTCCATCATGGCTCCATCCGATTTGGTTCCGAGTCAACCTAAAAAAATTAATGTTCTGCGCAAAGATCTCAAGTCCAAGTTGTGTGTTTTGGAAGACATTGAGGGCTGGGAACAAGTCGCGTCACTTTGCCAAATAGAGACAGGTCATGTGTAAATTACCTCGCCCACCAAAGTGACGCCTATTTTTTTCTTGCTGACCCAAGGTGCATATTTTTAACCACATTTTTTGTGTAATTATTATACACTATATGGGGCCATATAGTGTATAATAATTACACAAAAAATGTGGTTAAAAATATGCACCTTGGGTCAGCGAGAAAAAAATAGGCGTCACTCGGTGGGGGAGGTATTTCACACACGTCCTGTCTTCATTTGGCAAAGTGACGCGACTTGTTCACAACCCTAATGTCTTCCAAAACATGCAACTTGGACTTGGGATCTTGGCATTCGCGGAACATCAGTTTTTTTGGTTTGACTCGGGCCCGATCGGAATCGGACTGAGCCATCTCAGATGATGATGAAAAGGGTCCAGATGTGCCCTATGGCCCATGGGACGATGGGACCGTATAAAGACTAACGAGAACTTGAATTGTGGTTGCCTCATCGAGCTCTAAACTCAAGAAACCGTGCCCACTAGGGTGTACAGCAGTCATCAATCGGCCGCCAAGATCACATCTTATCTTGAGCCGATCCCGGATCAGCATATACGGGGATTGCCGATTCGCCACAGATTCGGTCAAGAGGGTAATGGTGTGCGGATGTGCGGTGGATGAGTGGTGTGTTTAAAGCACCTAAGTTCCAGTTGTGTGTTTTTCAGCACTCAAATACTAGCTGTGCCATTTTTTTTTTGAAACCTAGTCTCGACCTGTGTGTTTTGTCCAACCTTTTGTTTAAGTAGTGTCATTTCTAACGTTTTTTTCAAAGGTGTCGAATTTTTTAATTATTATACAGTATATGTGCCATACATACATGAGAATCAGTGACAGCCTTTTTCCCCCTCTGAAATCCTGAAATCAGTCTCGTTAGACCTCACTCATGATCGTCGAAAGGTCTAGGCGGACTTGATATGATATATGAATTAGCTTGACTTTAAATGAACTCAGATATCGAAGCGCTTCCCGCGCCGGCAGAGGCCAGACTTACTCCTCATCCCATCTCAGTTTACTTCTCGTTCAAAAAAGGGTTCCACACAGTGAAAAGAGACCCAATGGCGAATGGTATCGCCCCCGTTTTATCTAATTGCATAATGTAATGCAGCGGGAGCTCCTGGTTCGATTCCAGGTTGGGTCATTCGTTCGCAATTAATGATTTTACCGCCCTTTGGACTCAGTATTTTGCTTATTTATCCGCAGTCTCCCGTAAGTACAGGCTTCACGGCTCCATTCCCTCCGAGTCCGGAACTTCGGAATGAAAATGAGGACCAGTACCATCAACTCTCCGGGAAAGCCAGCAAGTTGCAGCAACATAACATACGATGCGTTGAACGATTAGGAGTACCTTCCAGTCCACGCCAGGAACCGTCGTGTACGTAGCGAGTCCCAGAAATCGGATCGGACGCCCAACGCATCCACACAAAACGAACGCATTTCGCCTCCCCGCCCGGATTCCCGAATCGGAATGCAGTAGGAGCAGAAACGGGCTGGTACCTACCTGGGCGGGAGATATGCTGCCGCAAATGCGCAAATGCTCTGGGTCAAGAAAAATATTAACGCGAAGGCGGGTCGGCGCGCGTCGAGAAAATAACTCCAAGGAGATGGCCACGGCCACGCGAGTTGAATGCGACGCGAATCGGACGCGATGCCCGAAATGTGAATCCGACCGAGGTATCGATGCACTGTGGCAATAGTGTGCAGCGGAAATGGGCCCCGACCGCGAGCGCCTGCAGGCGCGACTAAATGTGCGGCGGGGATTCGGCTTCGCGAATCCCGCACGGGCGGGAAAAGTGATTATAGGCGCGAGTTGGCAATGGGGCGCGAGGGTAAGAGATCACGCCGGGGAGCGGTGGACGGCCACCGCGCGAGTTGAACGTGTAGCTTGTGTCGTATGCGCCTGGGAGCGGCGCTGGATGGGGGACGGAGCCGTCTCGCCGCCAGACGCAAATCCAGTCCGCGCAAATGCGTCCGCATACAATGCGCATCCGCAATCACTCGCTCCAACCCCATCGCCCACGTACCGCGCTGCCTTCGTCTTGGCGACGTTAACGCCCTCGCAGCCGCACTCGAGGAGCGTTTGCGCGGCACGGAGGTCGGAGGCGAGGTACGCATGGCGCGCGGCGGGAGAAGAGAAGAAGGTGGATCCGGGGGTGGCGGCGTATGTGGGGGCGGGGAAGAAGGGCGTGGTCTACGAGCCCGAGGCGGATGCGGAGTACCCAACACCGGGGAGCGGGTACTGCGCTCGCTCGCGCTCGCTCGGAGGTGGCCGCGGAGGCTGCGGATCTACACGCTGCGCTGGGATTTGCGTTTGGATATAGGCGTACAGCGTCATGCCCTTCGCGCCACCCAGAGATGAGCACGACAACTTGATAGGACGCGGGGACACCAGATGTCGCGGTGGGGACGAGGGTGACGCTGCGGGGATCCAGAGTGATGCTTTAGGCATTGGCGGGGGCATTGAGGAGAGCCATCTTGTCGTTGCCGAGGTCGACGTCGGAGCTTAAGTGTGACGGTCACCGGCGCTCCGGCTTTGCTCTCACGCAATTCTCTACCTACCTACCTACCTCACGTCTCATATAAGCTTACAGGTTTCCTCTGTCCTTGAGGCTCGAATAACCTTGTCTGCGCTCTTTTGTCGATCTCCATACTTCGTGGGCATGTCTCTCCGATCCCCGAGCACCCTGAACCACCTCCGAGTCGTCTCAATTTGACAATTTCCCTCAATTTTCGGGCACTCTCGGCAAGTTTTCCTTCTTGGCAAGGATCTGAGGCTCTCTCGGACTCGCATGTAAAATTCTCCGTCCATCTCGGCAGCCGCCGATGTTCAAATAATTCCTCAGCTAAAAAATCCTGAATTCCTCGACGCGTCCAATTCCACAAAAATGGCCCATAAATCTTGGATAAAACATGCATCCAGCCACATGAAACAAGACCCAATTGCGAACGGTTCGCGTCCGTGATACACAGTGATTCCGAATGCGATCATTTTCGTGGAGGTCCTGGTTCGACTCCAGGTTGGGTCTTTTGAAATGGAACGACTCCTTTTGTCCGTCATCATGATTTTTCTTACAGAAAAACAAATTCGAGTCTCGGGTCGCAATAGTGTATATCGGTTTCCTTGTGTTCACCAACTCAAATAATCTCGCCTGCGTTCCTTGGGCCATTTCCAAGCTCTGGATTCTACTTTGCCAGGCCTCTCTGCACCTGAGCACCACAAACCACCTCGTCTCACTTCTCGGGTATCATCAGCCCCGCTCCTCGGCCGGTATCTGTCTGATCCTCGCTCTGGAGGAACTCTGCATGCATCACGGACTACAGTCTAGGCAAATTGCCCCTGCGATAATGTCTTGATCCCTCGACACATCCATTCCAAGCAAAACTCCTGCCTCATATACGGCGCATCCGGCGACATGCACAAAGCCCCAATAGCGAATGGCTCGCGTCCGTGATACATAGTGAAAAGGATCGAACATTATTGCGGATTTCCTGGTTCGACTCCAGGTTGGGTCCCTTCCCGTGCAAAGAATTTCTTTTGGTTCATAATTTATTTTACAGAAATCCGAGTCGTTACAGCAAGACCCGGAGCCCACATCAGCGAAATCTATCCTACCCCTCTCTGTACAAAATTGGTCCTTCAACTTGCCACGCACGCAGGCCTAGAATCCGACCCCACCGCAAGTCGTTTCGTTTTGTTCGCCCCAACTAACCCCCGATACGCAACACTCACCTCTATGAGATAAGAGCCCGTGGTGATCGGTTCGCCCGCGTTGACGTTGCATAATCTTTCTCAAGGCACAGTAACAGAAGTTCCTGGTTCGACTCCAGGTTGGGTTATATTATGGCGCATCACGTTTTTCCCCACCAGGCACTCGCTCCGGATACCATTCACCGGAACAAGCGCGATGAACCAATTAGAAACAGGTAAGACCCGGCCTCCCCCACGCCCTTTTTAACGAAAATGTGCAACGGAGCGGGTCGTCACACCACTCCACCCACCCAACGCATCACACAGCGAAAACCCTCCTCGTATAACACTTCTCTCTTACGAATAAAAGGAAGACTCAGTGGCGAATAGTAGTGCGCCCGCCCGCATCTTATTACAATGCGGACTTTCCTGGTTCGAATCCAGGCTGGGCCCTGAAGAATCAGTGCTGGTATCAATTATTTTTCTCCGTTTTTATCCCCGCACTCGCAAGAGGCAGATTACAAGCAGGATAAACAGGCCCAGTGGCGAATGGTTCGCATTCGCACCGTATACACTGTGGGGATTATACAGGATCATATAGCGGCACTTCCTGGTTCGAATCCAGGCTGGGTCCTGTCTTGTTTCCCCCCTTTTTTTCTCCCCCGGCCATTTTCATTTCTCCCAGAAAGTAGATTTTCCCTAGGGTACTCAAGACCCATGGGACTGGTATCTCCCTGGGATATCCCCCATCCCGCGGAGCGAAACTTATTCCGTTGTAGAACGCATCACCATCGGTGGACGAAGACCCAGTGGCGAATGGTTCACGCCCGTGCTTTGTGTGGTGTCTCTTCTGGCTCAAATTGTCAACTGCAAGTCCTGGTTCGATTCCAGGTTGGGTCCCTTCTTCGTTGCTTGGAAAGTCGTTTTTTGGTTCATGATTTTTCTTACAGAAATTCGAGTCCTTCAACTTGCCACGCACGCAGGCCCATAATCCGACCCCACCGTAAGTCATTTCGTTTCGTTCCACTTTTCGCTTCAACTAACCCCGAGACCCCTCACCCACCTCCAGGAGATAAGACCCAGTGGTGTTCGGTTCCCCGCGTTGACGTTGCATAATGTCTCTCAGGGCACGGGCAGAGAAGTTCCTGGTTCGACTCCAGGTTGGGTTATAAATATATTATGACGCATCGAGTTTTTTCCTCAATAGGCCTGCGACGCAGCTAAACTCACTCCGGATACCGCTTTTCAGAAAATAATTTCGCTGAAACAAGAGCCCCACCTCACCCACGTTTTGTTAACGGGAACATGCCCAGGAGCGGGCCGCCGCACCACGCCACCCACCCAATGCATCACACAGCGAAAATCCCCCTCGTATAATACGTCGATCTTGCGAATAAAAGGAAGACTTAGTGGCGAATAGTAGCGCATCTCATTCCAATGCGGAGTTTCCTGAATCAAGGCTGGGCCCTGGCGGATGAACTCTAGTGCCTATAATTTTGTTCTCATCACCGGTCCTGACCCCGTTTTTGTCCCCGCGCCGCAAGAGGCAGATTACAAGCACGAGAAACAGACACAGTGGCGAATGGTTCGCATCCGCATCGTATACTCCGTCAGGGTAAATACCATGTAGCGGCATTTCTTGGTTCGAATCCAGGCTGGGTACCTTGTCAACGGATTTTTCTTTCCCCCACTTCATCTCACCTGGCATTTTTCTTTTCCCCCCGAAAGTAGATTTTCCCTAGGGTACTCAAGACCCGTGGGACTGATATATCCCCGGGCTTGGTTCGACACACGAGAGCCGATATCCCCCATCGCGCGGAGCGAAACTTACAGTATCCATCTTACAGCACATAACCAGGTGGAAGAAGACCGAGTAGCGAATAGTTCACGCCCGCTTTGTGCACATCTCTTCGGCCGGTGACAATTGCCAGCGGGAACTCCTGGTTTGACTCCAGGCCGGGTTTATTGTATGATTTTCCATATGTTTTCTTTCTCCTCGCCGCTCCTGTTTTTCACAAACGAGAAGCAGGTTACAAGGATGAGAAACAGACCCCGTGGTGAATGATTTGCATTCGCACCGTATGCGTCGTGACAAACGACCACGTAGCAGCAGTTCCTGGTTCGAATCCAGGCTGGGTACTTATGGATGAATATTCCGCTTTTTCCTCCCTCCCGCTTCCTCTCTTCCACATCGGGTGTTTCCTTTCCAGAGAACATGCAAGTTCGGCTCTACAAGGAAATAGGACCCGTGGAGGCCGATGTTGAATATCTTCCCCTGTTTCACCGAGGCGCTACATTCTTATGCGCCAGACAAAAACACCCATATGCATCGTACAAGGTTTTGACTTAGTGGGAAAAGACCCAGTAGTGAGTGGTTTGCACCGGTGCTTTGTGGGTCGCCTCCGACTTGAATTGCCAGCGGGAGGTCCTGGTTCAAATCCAGGCAGGGTCGTGGGATGTCCTCGTTGTTTCTGACTCTGCTTTTTGCCCCGCGCTCACAGGAGTCAGATTACAAAGACAGTAAATTTAGTGTGTGCACCGTTTATTGAATTTTGGTCAGGTCCGTTGGGTTCAAATGGAGTTTATCTGACCTCTGAAGTGTCCAGCCTGAGGTCGACGTATATTGCAGAACCTTCCAAACATTTCCCGAGGTGAAAATACGAACGCTCCGCGGCGTTCGGTTCACCTTTCGAGTTTCGCCAATGCTCAAAGACGCGCCCACTGTATTCCAGCAGTCCAATCCTATGGCGGTCCGGATGCACATTTATTCCCGCCCCGCAAACTTTTGACCCCGCCCCGCAAATTTGCCTTTTTTGGTATCCCCGCGCGCGATTTTGACGTTTTGATCCCGTCAACATATTTTGCGCGGACGGCATGTTCCGCCCCGCGCGCGCGAAAATCCGAACTTCCGCGCGCGCGCAAAACTTTCTTTGGCGATCCCCCCCACAAAAATTAACTTGATGAGCAAAGGGTCTGAGATTAAATTCGATATAAGTAAGGAGCGCGTAAATGGTATTCATTGTCGTTCGTTGAGCCCGTGCCTGGTTTTGTGTCTAAATTTACATGAGGCTTTGTAAGTATCCTATGGGACTCATGGCATATCTTCGACCTTCAGAACTCTATTTTGAACTAGTGTTCCACTCCATCAATGAATAGTATCACAATAAGGCACCAAATGATGCCAGATGGTCGTGTTGAAAATGCAATGTACACCTAGTAAAGGAGTGCACGGATTTGACTGTAACGTGAAAACTCAATGGCTGAACAGGGAAGCCGATGTGGATCCCGAGGGCAACATCTGGCGTTGCTGTTGAACTACGTGCATTCAACTTTATTGATCAATCCCAAGAGGTGCTTGATCTCTGGATCTGCCAATTCGATTAAGTAAGCTTCCCACGACCCCCCCCCCCCCAGAAAAAGGAAATTCCATCAGTTGGGATCAATTCATAGCAGTCGGCTTTGAAAACTTCCACCTGGTGAAAGCTCAGACTACCAAGTCTTTGTATATAGCATGTACCTATGATTAACTTACGAAAAAATGGCTTTCTAGCATCCCGAGCAATAAACACACAGATGTTGCAAAGGGTGCTCGGTGATCACCGAGTGATCATCAGCTTACCTAACCGAATTGGGAGATCCAGATCTCAAGCACCCCTTGATCAATCCTGTCATTCATCCACTCCTGTGTCACCCTTGGCCTCCTTCCTTTTCACTCACTCCCTCCTGCTATATCTCCCATTTAATACCCACTCTCGTCATTTATAGGACTTTAATCGCACGGATCTTAATTTTGTATTCATATTTTCTCCTAATAACTACACAATGATGCTCTCTGTTGATAAGTAAATGACTTAGGATTGGGCCTCTTCGAGGCGGGTGCTGAACCTTTAGGTTCAACTTACTTGTCAATTTTCAACAATTGGGTTGGATAGGCATCAAAGTACTTTGATAATCAAGCTGCTTCAGATTGTGATAAGTATGGAACTGCTATAGACCCCGATTAGTCTGCACTTCTTATTTCTGTCTATCTTTTCTTCCTTTCCCCCCTGGAATTTCCGGGATAGCTACATGCACTATACTTAGTGCAGCCGGATTGGCGATGGAGCGTCAATCTGACATCACAACAGATGGGAATTTGCACTGGAGCACAGCAGAGCACAATCCTCGCTAGAGGGTCAGCTACACTGTTGCACCAATCTATCCAGAGCTCATCGCTAGCGCAGTAAATTTGTGAAACAAATACTTTGGCAAGCAGTTCTCGATTCACAAAAGCATCACGAAGGATCATCGGTCCATGCGAACGGGATCCATCCAAGTGAAAATTCTCGTCCTGTCCCCCTTCTTGGTATCTGCACAATTCAATAGGGATGAATTGTGGAGACTGTATCTTTCTCCAGTTGAGATTTATCTAGTTGCCAATCAGATTCGGACGATAGCAGTAACTGTGTCTACTAGCAGCGGGTCAGTGGCAACTCAAAGGTGAGAACCATTCTCTTTCATTTATGTATATATTCTCATTATTTCTGAGTTCCTGATTCAACTAAGTAATACAACCTACTAGTGCAGCTCTAAAACTAGAAAGGAAACCACAACAAGACCTGAATGAGGGTTTTAGCTGACAGGAGTACAGGCACTTCGAAAAGAAATCAAACATTGGGAACCTGGTAGTGTTTGCGAGGCGGAATACTTCAAGTCCAAGTTAGATACATCGACTGAGATGCCCGAGGAATACTGTTACTGACCTTCTGCAATATTTTACTTTATTTTCAGGCTCTGCAACTTGTCTTTCAACAAATATTGTGCAGCAGGATACATCAGACATTCAAAACAATATTTCTTGGTTGCACAAACTTGAAACATCAAGCCACAACCACTTGGGTGCGAACACAAAGCAAAAATGACAAAGCCGCAGAAAACGGGCCATTTGGAAGCAAAAATGACTAATCACAGAAATCGTAACTTGGTCCAGAAATATTTGGATCTGGTGCACAGTGCCAATTGAGGCAACCAAGATGTACACTTCAATAGGACAAAATATTTGGGAGCTGTATATATGAATATTTTGAACAGAACCCCTTTTCCTCGATTTTTCTTTCCATTTTTGACATGACCAATTTTGCATGAGTAATTTTTGTTTGTACATGTAGCAAAATGGCCCGAAATCCAAGTTCCCCAGGGTAGCCAAACCTAAAGGTTCAGCAATCATATGTCTCTTAGTGGACCTCACCTCCCTCTCATACCCTTAGTGTTGTTCTGGATCAGGCTCATGACCAAGTCCGACCCAAGCCCAGGCTTACAGGTCCGACCCAGGCCCGACTCGAGGCGGCTTCAGTCAGGTTCAGGCTTGATTGGGAACTTTTCAAGCCCGCGACCTGGGCCTCTCTGGGTGCTATAATATGGCGGTCCGGATGCACTTTTATTCCCGCCCCGCAAACTTTTGACCCCGCCCCGCAAACATGCCTTTTTTGGTGTCCCCGCGCGCGATTTTGACGTTTTGATCGGGTCAACATATTTTGCGCGGACGGCATGTTCCGCCCCGCGCGTATGGCGGTCCGGATGCACTTTTATTCCCGCCCCGCAAACTTTTGACCCCGCCCCGCAAACATGCCTTTTTTGGTATCCCCGCGCGCGAATTTGGCAGTTTGATCCCGTCAACGTGTTTTGCGCGGACGGCATGTTCCGCCCCGCACGATTTTGACCCCGCGCGCGCGAAATTTTCTTTGGTGGTCCCCCCGCAAAAATTTACTTGGTGAGAAAAGGTCTGAGATTGAATTCAGATTACGTATGGTATTGGTGGGACGATGATTGAGATAGTGTGTAATGGTATTACTTAGTGGAAGGTACCAAATAGATGGTCATTTTGAATAGGGCTGACCACCGTCCCGTCTTTACGGGTGCAACAGCTGTCGTCAACGGTATACTGTCCCGTCCCGTCGAGCCATCGGCCTAGAAAATTTATGGGACGGGTGCGGGAGGGCAAAATCGCCGTCCGTCCCGTCAAATCACCTCTGATGACGGCCGCAGACGGGTTTGAATTGTATTCCGGAAGGATTGAAATCCAATTGAACCTTGACCAACAGGTGTTAATAGGTCCCCAGGATTGGAACGGGCACGGTCTACAGAATATTATTGCCTTGGTTGAACGACCACGTGATACGGCGCGTCTCTTCGATTGTCCTCCTTGCACGTGGATTATCAAGTATTATCAAGTTAAAAAGGATGATTTAATAAGATAGGTCGTACTCGACGCTTACCGTTCACATTTAATGCACAGAAGACGCAGAGTTGATGCTCGGAACTCTGATCCAAAGCACTTATCCACCGTCCCGTCATTTCCACGTTGACAGCCGTCTTTTTGCAGTCCCGTACCGCCTCGGTGTCCTAACATTTAAAAAGATGGGAGGAACGGCAGCGTCTCGTAGAGTCGTACCCGTCTCGGCGTCCCAAATTGGCGGTGGGCAGGCCTCGTGTTGAAAAAGCTGATGCGGATTCCGAGCGTAATTTTTAACATCTGGTGTCACTGACTACGTGACTGCTGGATTTTATTGATCAATCCGGTTGCCATTCATCTCCTTTGTCACCCTTCGCCTCCTTCCTTCCAGTTTTACATAACTCACTCCTTGTTGCATATCTCCCATTTAACACTGGCTCTCGACATTCCTTGGACCTTAATCGCACACATTTTATCTTAATACTTCCTCCTCCAATTCACGCTTGATAAGTGTAGGCCTTTTATTGGACCTCACCCTCCTTTCATACAATTTACACGCTCTCTTATGCTGTTCAAATTGTATAAAAATTCCCGCGCCCGCGAAATGATTTTTGCGCGAAGTGATTGTCCGAAATCATGCGCGCGCAAAGTTGATGATGCGCGCGCGGAATTGATGATGTGCGCGCGGAATTTTACTGAACTGCGGCCACTTTGTAAGAGAATCCCGCGCACTTTTAATAACTTTTTGGATGGCGCAGTACTTGTTCTTGATGCGCGCAGGTGTTAGATTTCTTTGCGCGCGCTGTAAAAGAGGTTCGGGGATCTCGGGGTTACCCGATTTGGGAATCGGCAATCGGATCGGGGACCTTTTGGCCAAGCATGCCCATTCAACCCAGTACCTGCACTCGTTTACCAGGGTTTCTATAATTACATGAACAGCACCTGGCAGAGAGATTGTAGACCATGCTGATTATGTGTACTGCCTTATAAATTCTGGGTTGTCCAATATATCTAGGACTGTTTCCAGTGTCGCAGCGGTTCGGCGGGTATGCGATGGATGCTGTGCCCGTTTTGTCAACGATTTTCCACACTGGTTCTCGACGAGACGGGCTTTCATCCGGACGGCCCGTTGAATGACGGCCGTGATGGCCATTGAACGGGTTGTGTTTTTCTCGCGCTAATGAGCACATTTCTGACTAGAAAATGTGACCAGGGCAGCCACTCATGGATGGGCCTTCATA